AGTCCTCTGAAAATAAATGGGACTTGATAGATTTCCATATCATTTATAACTTCCCTTAATTACACTTGGAAGACTTGCCAGTAAAACTGGAAAATTGGCAGCCTATATCCATTATAGTAATTTTGCCGACCATGGCAAGCAGCTGGCTTTACTGGATTTTATTTCCCATCACTCACAATTAATCATCAGCTGGAGATGTCTGAAACTCGTCACAACGTAGCAATACCGTGTGACATTCGGGCCTCCTTAAAATGCCAAAATCTGCTGAGTAAATGGGCCGAGTTCCCCTTCCAGCAAACTCATTTTGGAGCGAGGCGGGCTGCCGGCTAATGAGTGCCACCGCGATAATCGGATGCGAATGTGAACCCTGACCCCGTGTCAAAGGAGGGGACGCAGCAAGCTGGATAAAAGATAGGGGGTTCAGCTCTGCAAACTTTACACCAATTAGAGGGGGAGCGGGGAAATACATCAGAGCCCGTTGGGTTTATCAGAAAGACTGGCGGGGCTTGTGACCATTTTGGAAGCCTAACGTTGAAGACGTCCTGTCACAATCACTAAGTCTTCATCAGGTGATGCACAAAAGTCCGAGGAAAGGGTACCACGTTCACAAAGATCCCGTGGTAGCGATGCCATCGAATCTGTGCTGTCTTTTTGTATCTCTGAGATTTAAAGAGACCTATCTGTAAATGCAATTAGGCTTCACGGGCCTCCTGGAGGTGCAATGAAAATGACTCGGGGTTGTGACTCCTCAAATTCTGCTTCCACCCCGTGCCAGGAGGTGCTTGGTCGGAAAATGACTGGAGACAGAGTCCTGCCCGTTACCTTTCGGCCAGAGCAGATAAACACCACCATGTGGTCCTCGAGTTACTCAAATGGTGCTATTGACTGTTCCCAAATTCACATCAGAATTGGTAGCCACATCGAGATATTAAGTACTCCCCTCTTCAGTTTTCTCTCCTCCTTTTCTCCTTCTCCTTCTCCTTCTCCTCCTTCCCCCCCCTTCCCCTTCCCCTTCCCCTTCTCCCTCTTCTCCCCCTTCTCCTTCCCCTTCTCCCTCTTCTCCCCCTTCTCCCCCTTCTCCCCCTTGCCCTTCTTCCCCTTCCCCTAAAATAAACTACTAAAATACAGTGCAGGTCTAACATTTAATAATCACTGATTTATTTTGATATTCCAAGCAATGTAAAGGTAGATTTGTCTGTAGTAGTGTGACTCTGTGAGAAAGATACCTGAGTTTTATTTCTTTTCAGAAAAGGAGTCCTTTTATTTTACTTGGTTCCAGTCAATCAGATTTTTTGTTTGATTTTATTTGCCTGTTTTGACAGATTTGGGTCATCACTGAGACCTCTTGAAATCGAAATGTAAAGATGGTGGTTTACGTTGGCTTACCAGCCATCAAAAGAAATAAATTATATTATGAAAATGCAACATTAAAAATGGTCCAGATAAATCCTTAAATAAGTTAGAAAGCAAGACCTCGTACACATCACTGTGGCTTTCATTTGCAGGCTAAATAACAGGCAAAAGGATATGTGCAATTACAGAATGAAAGAAATTGGACAATGCCCAAAAGACTGAAAAAAGAGAAAAGAGAGATACAAGTGCCTCATTTTAGGATTTGTCGCTTTGCAGCACAATGAGTGGAGCTGTAAAGGTTTAACTTAAGAACAGTAATTAAACTTCGGAGCTTAAGTGACGCTTTCGCCAAGGTAATTTTCAACAAATTGCACATCATCAGAACCGCTGACACAGCATTTTCACACATGGTACCTGCTGCAAGTGCCTCCTTCCTCCCAAATTAGTGGGACTAGATGTTAACTGGACACCTTCTCTGTGGATTTTGTGGGCTGGATGAGTCATTTCTTTCCCAGATGCCACTTCTTTTGCCATCAACCCAGCAGGTTTATGAAACTGAGAAGCTCTGATCCATGGATATTTCTGTGCCACGGCCGCTAATATTTCCTGGCATTTTGCAGGTGTATTTAAGATCTACAAAGACAATTCTGCACTGTTCCAGTAGGTGTGTTTCCAGAACTGTGTTTAGGGGGGGTTGGACTGGATGATCTTTAAGGTCCCTTCCAAGCCAAACCATTTTATGATTCTGTGAATTGCAAACTGGTTCCTGTTTTCACCACCCTCCCGATGAAGCTGTGTTACACTCTGGCAAACAGAATCGTGCTGGGGCTCCAGAGGAGAGAGTTTCTTGTGCCCTTGAAATTAAGCCCCTCAATTCAGATCTGCCCTCCTCTGCAGCTCAGCCTTCAGCAACCTTTAGAGGACCATGTTCTTGGTGCTTTGGTAGCTGAGTTTAACCAGAAGATGGCAAATTTGTTTCTGAAAAATGTTATTAAAAAACCCCCAAACCTTCAACAAACATTCTTGCCTTTTTTTCCTCCCTTTTTTAAACAGCAGTAGATATTCATAGCTTCCTCTTAACCTCAGAAATAGCTGGAAAAGTTGAGAGCAGATGGAAGAAATGCTGAGCAGTGAGACAGGGAGAAGAGGAGAAGCAGCGAGAAGGAAGGAAGGAGCCATTGGGACAGGGCCACAGGCAGAGCCGCAGGTGTGGAAGGAGGGAGACAAAAGACAGGGATGCGGAATAGAGGGTAAACAACTGGGGACAAAGACCAAGTATTTGGTACTATTCACTGAATTTGACACTGCTAATGACTTAAATGCTCACCTGAAGCTTGGGATGGAATTTCTGCAGGTGAAGTGTTGGTTGTTGGTTACTCTCTGTATTGGGTTAGCACACTGTGTTCCCATAGCAAATGCTTGCCTTATTTGCCCCAAGCCCCCATTATATTGCTCTTGGCAGTCTGTGGGAGAAATGGTGTGTAAGCACCTTTTAACGTAGCATCTTTTCTTCTGTCTTACTCAGAATCCATAGGCAGACAACAACACTTCTCAGTCATTGCTAGTGCAGAGTCACTGATTTAGAAAGAAAGCTTTATTTAAATTTTTGTAATGTGCTTCAGTCAATGTGCATTTGGTCTCTGGCTTCACACCTGTCTGTTAGATAGTATATTCCTCCCAAGTGGTACACACTTGGTCCTAAATATGTAGTACAGATTCTACATATATTTGGAGAAATAGATCTGTGTATAAATGCATGTATATAAACAAACACAATTTGAGGGCACTGGCACATATAACAACACACAGAGCACATCTCTGCAGGTCTCAGATTGCCCTCTTTAATGAAACTTCAACATCAGAGCGAAAGCATCCCAAATTGGCTGGGATAACAAGGGAATGGTGGGCTAAGTCTGCAAAAGAGCCTCATGAACAGACTTGGGAGCCAGGCATCCCAGAAGGGTGTACCTGCACAAGCCCTAATTACTGAAGAAGCGCTAAATAAATAAAGGTGGCGCCGAGTGCCCTTCCCTCTCCAGTGTAAATCCTCTCTGTGGGATGACTGGCTGGTCACTGGGTTACACGAGGGATAAATTCTGAATCTCCTGTTTTCCACCCCCCAAACATTGTAGAGCCTTGAGCGGCCATTCCCTCTGTGCAGTGTGGGCCCAAGCATTGGAGGAGGGCACTGGGAGCCCAGCGGAGCGGCCCAGTGGGTTACTGGTGACCCTGATCTTGTGTGTGCCTGTTAGCAGAGCACAAACAAGCAGCGAGAGGAGACTTCAGTGTTTCCCTCTAAGAGCAGCAGTGAAAATGAGGGTTTTGCTTTGGCGATGACTCCCTTGCAGATGAGAGGTGGTGGTTCCCAACAGGGCCCTCCCTCTCGTCAGGCCGAAGCCATCGGCCACCACTGGGATGCGGCCATGTGCCCAGGTGTGACTTTCTGCTCCACGTTACCCCGTCACTTCCAGCCTGCACTCCCCCAGGCGCATGCCAAGAAACTTTTGGCTTCTGACTCGGGATTGGTATCGGCAGAATCCGTGCCAGGGAAGCAAAGCAAAGGCTCCCCGGCCAAAACTTCACAGATTAAGCTTTGCTCTGGGTGTAATGTCGCACTGTGATGGGTGTGAAATGCAAACTGTAGGAGTTGGAGCTGAATGGGTGGGATGGGAGAGGAGGCTTTCAGGTTTGTCTGGGGTCATGGTTTTAAGTGGGTGCTTCATTTTTCCTTGGGTAGCTGCTGGTTTGTCAAAGGCAGCTGTGATTTGGGTTTGTGGTTTGTGTCGTGGCTCTCCTCCTGCCTGACTTGAATTGTGCCACAGAAGTATTTTTAGCATTTAATGAAATAATCCCTTTATTTTCCCGAAGAGTCATACACACTTAGAGCATTTTAAATCCCCTCTCCTCATTTTTGTACTGCTTTAATTTTACCAGGTTTCAGAAGGTCAAGAGATTTGTGTAATTGAAGCAATGAAAATGCAGAACAGTATGATTGCTGCTAAAACAGGCAAGGTAAGCTACCTTGGGTCACTTAAAACCATATGCAACTTGTCAAATAGAAGTGAAAAAGGAAAAAAAGGAGGATTCTGGTTGTTAAGGAATTAAGTCTGATCGGTGCAAGTCTTTCAAAGTGAGTTGTCTTTAATTTTTAACATTTGCATCTGCTGTGAATGCTGTTAAGTAGTTCCGAGCCTTAGATAGCACAGCAGGAAATAGTTTTACTGGCTTCAGAAATTCATATAACTCCTTTTCTCCTAAATGATTTGTTTTCTGTGATGTTACAATGCCAAGTTGAATTGAAAGGTGTTGCAGATCATTTCTCCAAATTCCATCTTTCCAGAGAGCAGCTGAAGAGATCTCTTTGCCAGTTAATTCATTAATGGCAAACGATTTGACATTTAAAAAAACCCCAACACTCAGAACAAGGCATGGAAAGTGTTTTTGCAGGAAGATGAGAAAAGCAATTTATTATTATGATTATTATTGTGACTGTTAAATGTGAAGCCTAGATTTGAAAATGTGTTAAGGTGTGCAAGGCTGTGCGTTGCGGTGTCTTGCTTCTGAGGGGATGAGCATTGCACCCCTGAGCTGGGACTCCTCCTGCAGCACAGGATGTACCAAAACCAGTGGTCAGGGCGAGGAACCAGTTAAGCTCATGTGACAGGGGCAGGCCTTAAACCCCATCTGGTCTGGGGACTAAATCAGGGCCTCAGAGCATCCCTGTGCCAGATTGTGATTCCCAGTCTGAAACCATCACCTGGACAGGAGGCCCTGATCCGTCCCTTCCAAAGGGAGAGCAGGGCCACACTGGAGGAGTCGCTGGTCGGGGTCTTGTCAAGGATCTGGATTACATACTCTCATATTTCCTAGCACATCCAAACCCTTCTCTGCCTGGGGATGGGCCCCTCGGCTCTCCCAGAAGCACTTTTTGTTATGAAAAACAGCAAAACAAAACCCGTAGCCCAGGGGGAGGCAGCAAGGAGCCCCACTTGCCTGGGCAGGGGCCGGGTCGGACACTGGCAAGATTGGCCGGGACCTCAAGGTGGGTCCCTGTGCCAAGGACTGTTTGTGTGTTTACAAGAAAGGCGAATTTGGCACAGCACTGAGGACGGGACCCAGCACTTACCTCTTCCAGGGTGTCTAGTGCAAAATTGGGTCTTGAGGAAAAAAAACTGCAGAGTGAGGGAGAACGTAGCTTCTCCCGTTGCTCCAACATTGCCACTTTATTATTTTCTTTCATGCATTAATTCCTATATAATTTATTTTCTCACTTGATTAATATTTCCTAGCATTTATTTTTTTGTATCCTTGCTTTTGTTTAACCCCTTATTGCCGCTCTCTGCATCCACTGATTTTAACTAGTGAGTATTTGTAATTAAAATGTCATTCCCCCTCCCACCCACTCCCTTTTCTTTTTACTTTACCCTCCCCTTTCCTGCCCAGGTGTGCTGCAACCCATAGGCCTGTTCCCTAAAATCCTGCTTGTACTTCTCCCAGTGATAAATATCTCCCACTCCTGTACAGATGCCACATAAAACCCACATTTGGCTTATGAGTCCTTCAAAGTGGGATTTGAATGGTACGCAGGCCATCCAGTGGGCTTGGTGTGCACTGTGCAACGTCCCCATGATGTTTCCATGTTAATAATAGGCAAATTATTTGGTTCCTTAGAATGTTAAGAACTTGACAAAGTTTTGGGCTGGGTAGAAATGAAGCTGCTAAACAGAATTCATCCTATTCTGCAGTGCAAAGTCGTGGCTCCGAGTGCTAAAATAGCTTGGCCCCTCCACAGGAATGGGATATTTGGCACAGGCTGTTAGGCCACGGTTTGGTGCTTTGAAACTCTATTTTGAAACTCCATTCGTTTGCCGTCAGCTGGAAGACGTTCCCATTTTCATTCCTGGCTGAATTCCTTTTCTGCATCAAACCCCATCTTCCTGTTTGTAATTGTGAGAAAAGTGGCTTGTTTTTATCTACTTTGGGTGGGCTCCAGCTGCAGGTGGTTCAGAAATGAAGGAAAGATGGAGAGGAACCGGATTGCCTCCGGCCTCCTGCGGGACAGCTGCGCATGGGTCAGGACTGAGAGCTGGCCCCGCCGCACGTCAAAAATCACTGGGGAGTTTGCAGCCCTGGTCAGCTGCGATGTTTGCTGAGCCGGGGCTCTGGAGAAACAGAAAAGAAAGCGGTAGAGTATTTTTCACACTGCTTTCATCTCTGAAAGGACTGAGTCTCAGGAATGGGGTAGGCTGCCTAGCTATTGATTTACAAATAAAGCTCTTTTTTGTACATCTCATGGTGCCTTTTCCTGAGCACAGTGTTCAGCCTCATTTCTTGAGCAATGCTGTGAACATGCCCGTGCCACGGAGCCTACAGCTCCCGTGGCTTTGGGCTATCAAACTCAGGTGTGGGCAATAGTGCAGCCATAGTAGCCAGGCCATTTTGGGAACGTTGCAGGTTTTCTCTAGGAGCCCAAGGTAACTTTTGGATGACTGAACTGAGCCAACTGCTGAGCAAGGTTTGGACTGAGGATCTGGCGTGTCAGCGTGAGCTCTGAATTAATATTGCAAGCAAACACTAATATACAGCTGCAAGTATTTTCTGGAGCTCCATGTGCTGAGAGGGAATTCAAACACGTGGCAGCCTTTTATAGAGGAAATGAGGGAGTAGTGTAAGATACTTGTATTTTAAAATTCAGGAATCCATATGTGAGTAAATAATTCATTTACAGATGTAGTTGCATTTATGTGACAGCGGTAGCCCTTTGCTGAGTTCAGTTGTGTTAAAGGATCCAAATTCAGATTTTAATAAATCCATCTCAGCTGTCTGGGGAGTGACAGAAACCCACTTCATGGCTGCAGTCCCAAAACTCAGTTACATTTAAAATCTGTGATGCAAGAGATACTGGAATATCTCACTGAAACATCCAAATGTGAGTACTGAAGAGTCAGCCTGCTGGCTGAAAGATTTAAAAATGCAGTGGTAAATAACCAGCAGTGCAAACAGGTGGCTAAAAGGTGCTTTTTCATTTTAAAAGTGCCATCTCAATTTGACGTTCAGACCTTTAAGCACCTAAGTAATAAGAAAAGCAGCAAGTGGTAGGTGCCTAAAGACCGTGATGGAGTTGGGTGCAATTTGGTCAAGCAGTGGCGCAGGCTGCCCGTAGGCTGTGGACTCCCCATCCCGAAATACTCAGAACTCAGCTGGACTCTGAGTGGTGGAGGTGCAGCTGGCAGCCTCTTGAGGCCCCTCCAAAATACATGTGCCTGTGATCCCTGTGGTGGTCATAACGGTGTACAGAGGCCATTTACCTTGCAGCTGTGATGCGCTATGTAAGCAGTGCCAACCACGCCATTTATTTAACCATGCTATCGAGGAAGGTCTGAAATTGTTTCTGTTTCTGTACCGCAGGTGAAAGCTGTGCACTGCAAAGCTGGTGACACTGTTGGAGAGGGAGATCTGCTGGTGGAAATGGAATGAATTTTTTCCAGCTAAGCCTTTATTATTTCCATCCAGAAAGTAAAATTAAGGCAATTCAACACAGAGGATGGGCAGTCCTATGTGCAAGATTTTTATACAGTCATATTTATTGTATCAGTGGTTAAGAAAGCAAACACAGATGTTAAACCTTGGCAGCAGATCCCAGATTTTTACTTCCAGAAATACTTGTACATAACCTTTGTAATTCTTTGATTTTTTTTTCAGGATCAAATAAAATCAATAAAATACCGTTTCTGCTTTAAAACAGGAAAAGACTCTTTTTTGAAAAAAGAAAACAAAAGCCCAAATCCGATTCATCTTCTCCCCAGTAATATCACTGGTTTGAGACCCCAGCCAAATTGTACAGAATGGTTGGTAAGAGTGGAAAATTAACCACTGAGTGATTGACTGAGCAGTTTTCCTATGCTCTGTGTAAGTGCTGAACAAGTACTGCTGATGGCTTAAATTCTGATCACATTTATTGTAGCATTTTGAAGTCTTTGTATGAACTAGATTTCAATTACAGGTTAGAGGTTTTATTTTGCTAGTGCAGACTTTTCATTTACAGTTGTAAGGGAATTTTCTTATTTTATTCAAACTCCATACCCAAATTTTCTCTCCCCTATCTTTCTCTTCTTTCAGTTGATTACTGGCTGCGAGTCCTCACAGAAGGAGCTGGCACTGTCCCTGGAGGCCCTTAGCCACCCCAGGGGATTGCTGGAGGCACTTGCTGTCCCTCAGGCCAAGCCTCCTCCTCAACTCTTACAGGAAAGAGCTTCTGTTGTGCTGAGGCTCCTACTAAAGACTGTGTGAAGAACTAGGGACTGTGTTTAATACCTATCTGTATCCTGCTGGAAGAGCTGCATATCCAGTGTGGGAAACCAGAGAAGGCCTGGAGAAGAGGAAGATTTGAGACGGGAACAGAGGTGAGAGGGCTGGTGACCTGGTCAGAACAGCTAAGAGCGTGCAGTTCTCGATCCCTCAGGCACTCAGAGCCATAGGATGGTGAAGATACCAGAAGTTTCCTGGGATCCTCCTTTCCTGGAGTCTCCTCCTCTGGAGACATTCAAAACCCGCCTGGACACGTTCCTCTGTGACCTAGTCTAGGTGATCCTGCTCTGGCAGGGGGGGTTGACTTGATGATCTTTCAAGGACCCTTCCAAGTCCTAATATTCTGTGATTCTGTGATCAGTGTCAGCGTGTGGGTAACAGGGGCTCTTTCTTCCATGCACTGATCCCTCTCAGTAGCTCAGCAGCTGCAGCTCAGGAGATGCAGACACCTCCGCCATCCCTGCGCGCTGTGAGCATCAACTCTGTCCCTGTGCTCCTGCCTGTGCCTCTGCTGCTGCCCACTGCTGGGCCAGGACCCCGGGCTACTCCTGCCTTCAGTCTCACCTCCTACAGCTGCTTTTATCTTTTACATACCTCAAAG